AATACTACCAAATTGTCCCCCTTTGCCAAAGCAAAGCTACCACAATCCACACTTATGGGCTCCCCCTAGTGGCTGGGACCTTAGTCTTCGTCATTTTCTTCCCTAATGGAAGACCCTGTGCTAGGCACAAGAATTATCCTGGTATTCTTCCAAAGGTCCTCTGCATTCCCTTTGCTTTCCAGCCTTCTGCAGCCTCCTTCAAAATGCACACTCAATGCTCTCTTTAACTGCCAGTATGCTTTTCCTCTGAGTCAACATCTGCCATGTCGTAAATTTCGAAATTTCCTCTAAAATTATGAAGCAGAAATGACTGGAGGGTTTTTGAACTCCACAGTGATTTTCAAAAACCTGAAAAGGTCAAACAACCTGGCACGTCAACACGGCGGTCCATCTGCCCCGAGCTCGCTGGCGCCCCCTCACCTGCACGTGAAGGGCATCCGCTTGCTCGAGCTGCAGCTGCGGGCACATTTGACCACACTGAGACTTCGGCTTTTGGTCGGGAAGGTCCTGTCCGGCCTTATTAAGCGAACCCCATCTCTCTTCTGGTAGTCCTGAAGAGAATGCCTTTTGCTCTCTGTGATGGGCAAGAGCAATATAATCCTTTCCTTAGTGATTCGTGAATCACTGCGGTGATTCACTGGAGTGAAGTCACTGGAATCAAAGTTAGTGGAATTAAAGCTAGTGACTGTAAACGTAAAGTGTAAATGTGGACTTGGGTCTCCTGCCAGAGGTAGCACGTCTTGAACACTCATCCATCCCTCCTCTGAAGCGAGTCGGCAGGCGCACAGGGACTCGAGGCTAAGGATCCCTGACAGAGGTCACCCTTCTCATTTCCTGACGTTGCCCTGATCTAAGAGAGAAGCAGACCCTGCTTCTGATGGGACCTTCCCCATGTCCTTCAGCCTTGCTAAAGCCCCACGTCAGCCTGAGCGATCCAGTTCATATTTTTACACTAATATCTTGGTTTCCCTTCGAAATAAATATTCGCATGTCGTTTATATATACACAGAAATTCCACTCGCAATAATTTATTTCAGTTTTATTAACGCAACTTTTTAAACACAAACCGAGAATAGGATAACTTCTTTAGAAAGAGATGCCTATGTTTGACGGGAGAGTATTAAAAACACTTACATTAATCAGATATAAATACCACGAATTCCAGAGCATATGAATCCAGAGGATTAATTGTTTTAAATAGCGATATATACGTGGGCTAACTTTGAGTGCATCTGGCAATAATAACCTCACTGCCGTTCTTGGGCCATTGATCTTTATCCATCAAGTCAAATTTCTCTGATTTTTGTTCTGAAACACTTTCTTGACGCAGCGCTATGCTTCTATTTTATAGCTAAAAACTGGCATGATAGATGCACATAAAGTGGATGCAACACCATTGCTATTAATCCATCAGTTTCTCATTTCATAAAAATGAAAAAAGCGCAGAGACAAACCAACTCTTTCGTGCAGGATAAAACTGGAATCATTCTCAAGCATTAATGGCTGTGATAAAAACAAAACAACGCTTGCCAGTACATAAAACTAAATTCATCTTCATCCATGAAACACGTTTGTTTAAGCAGATATAGACGGTAAAAACGATTTAGTCGAGTGTGCCGTTTTATTAGCGACGCGCAAATCCCCTTTGCCAGGTTAACAAATGTCCATGGAGTGAGTGCCACGATTTTCACAGTCAGGGTTCACTGCAGGAGCCAGTTGCAGAAAGACTGCAACTTGAGGATGTCATAACATCAGAAAATGAAAAGCAATCACATTACCCACGCTGGTACACTGGATGAATATGAAAAGTTATTGGTTCCTGGGCCTGATGCAACGTTGACTTAGCATTAACAAGATATTACTTAGTTATGTGAACCTGCTGATTAAAAAAGACACTGAGAAGGGGCCTAGGCTACTTGCAAGCAGCAGCGTAAGTCAAGACTAGCGTTTACGTTTTTCTTCAAAAAACTACGTCCATCATAGAGTGCTACTTTTTTAAATGAAATATACTGGAGGTGGAAATTATAAGACCCATGTCCTTTCCTTTATCGCAAGGCCTGACTTTGGTTGTTCAATTCATACAATAAATATGAGCTACTGAAATGCATGCAGTTAACTTATAGCTATACAAAACCGTAACATTGCAGAAGCGACGGGGTCAGGTCTGAGATTTTTAAGACGTTATTTAGTTTATCTATCAAGCAGCCACAATATATTAGTTGTACCAAACAGTCCAGGTTATATTATTATTATTACTATTATTATTTTTATTACTACTACTAGATGTTCCACCACTACGCCTACTACGACCAGTATTAGTAGGCTACTAGACACTGTGAAGTTCACTAGATACTGAACATTCCCATAGCATACTAATTATGGAAAAGGCATATGAATAATTACGACAGTATAACCCAATATATTTTAATCAAAGAAATATGAATCTATACATATGTAAACTTGCAAAAGTGCTCATTTATAATTCTGAATCAAATTAGACACTATGGAATTACGGAAAAAAAATCCATATCCGTGCAACCAAAAACGCATTCAATAATTTAGCATTGCGCATAAAAACCAATCAACTATCAGCTGTTCTTATGTAACTGGGCAACGTTTAAAAGAAAACAACGATCTGCAGCTAAATTATTCACAGTGGTGTTTGACCTCAGTGCAACCAAAAGTACGCATTTTCAAAAACAGACAAAAAAATGAATAATAAAATAAATCCCACCTGAAAAATCTATAAGAGTCACCCAGATGAGCGCCGTGTACATCCACATTACTGTTGCATCCATTGGTCCCAGAAAAGATACCCTGATGTTCTCCTATTACTAAGGTCCTAGACGCGTGTCGGCCGCCTGTGCGATCTGATCTCACCATTAGCTCGCTTGTATAATTAAGCGGAGCACCCACACGCCGCCAAAGATAGCCCTCACTAGCAAGGACCCGTCCCCCCTGCTCAACCCCGACGCGATAATAACCCGATACCCCTCCCTCGCAGCGACGGAGCTCTACCCCGCTTGTCCCGAAGCGTCCAACAAGATCACATATTACTCTCTACCTAAAACTCCTCAGTTAACTCACTTTCCATATTGTTTCACACAGGAATCAAGTTCCAGCTTCGAAATACGACGAACTGACACTGGGCACTAACATTTAAAATAGAATACAATGATTAAATTCGTCAGACTGCTGTTGAACGCATCTAGTAAAATGCCCTTAATTTCCCCCGTATTTCAAACTAATCAAAATAAAGGCTTTAAACATGTACAGGACAGTGTATGGCTAAATATATTAATATATCTAGGCCTACAGGAATTTCAACTTCAATGTCCCATTACGTTAAATATTCAAGATCTCCAGTCCCCAATATCAGGAGAAAAATATATTTAAAATTGGTCACGGGTCTTTCGAAAACTTAGATATCATTCAAATTTTTGAAGTATCATGCATTTTCCATTATTATATGGTTACATCTAGGGCTATTGACGACACAAAAAATCTCTTTCATTTCGTTAAAAAGAATGATATAATCCTTTGGTCAGACGTCCAAAAAGCAAACCCTCTGAAGACTCCACTAAAAAACATTTGCGGCAGACATCTGTACGTAGAGCCAGATTTTGCGTGAATTCATTACAAACTGTAGCAAAGCAGACTCCTCCAAACTTCTATCAGATAAGATCTATAATGCGCCTTTTCTTCTGCGCTGGAAGAGGACCAAGTACTTGTCCGCTCTTCGCATCAGTCTGCATGCTTTCCTTGAATACGGCTGACTGCATGATGAAGAAACCAGAGGGTCTCCACCCGAAATACACCTGTGCTCCATCCCACACATCCCGGGGGCAGTGAGGGCTACGTAGGTGCGCAAAAACATACTCCTTAATACCAGCACTGCAATATCCTGTAATATCTCTGCTAGACTTCCTATCGATTTATCTGGGGGGAAAAAACTCTACAAGAACTTTATGAAGAATAATAGAGAATTTGGAAGCAAGCAGCAACTCAAACAAGCATAAAATATCGTAGATTCACAGCTTCACCTCACAAAGCTTGGCGGTAAAACAGATATCCGATACAGAGTCTTTATATGAGTGCATATAGATAACAGGAGCCCACCTATTTGACATGTATTAAATTCCTTCGGTAATTACTTGTATATATGGTCAGGGCCGGTCAATCCTATAAGCGACGTAGGCGGTCGCCTAGGGCGTCAACTTCTGAGGGGGTGTCGACAGCCGACTTCACTTGCGTCTATCGTGCCTTGTCACAGACAAAGAAATTGTGGCTGGCTCGCGCCCCTAGAAGTACTCGCGCCCTCTGTAGTGCCGGTGCACGTGCGCGATGTGGGTCGCCAACTTTTGAGCAATCGCCGATTTTGCCCGCCAATTTCACTTTGCCTTGGAAGTCACAGCGGGGCACCGCGCTGTTGTAATGGAGGGGACGGTGTCGAGGACACTGTTAGGTTAGCATGTAAAAAACGTCGTAGGTATATCTGAAGCGGCATTAAGAGTGAAACTAATCGAAGAAGTAAAACCTGTCGGGGCTTAACACCATAAAAGGAAGAAGAGGACAGGTATTTAACACAGACAAGTAAATTCTGTCATTTCTTATTTTTTTTTGTTTAATCGTCGCTAGATAATGGATGGGCAAAATAATAACACCTGTGGGGTGTTATCTATCTGTTAGCTTGCTGGTATATCAGGGCAGTTCCAGTGCTATGGATGTGCAGTGTTTTCTGTGGTGAAATATGTCACTACTGAAAAGAGCAGACAACAGAAAATTGTTGTACGTTTTTTTTCCGTCATAGCATGTTCCCTCCCTGTCTATGGAGATGAACAATAATTATATTAATTAATATATACTAGTATTTTCTATATTTTTCAGTAACAGTTATGACTCCGCTTTTTGATAAATTAATTCTTCACAATTTCCCCGTTTCCAGCGCTTCACTCAACAACATAAATGTGTAAGTAACCAGCAGTTTTTAGTCCGGTTAAAACAGACTGGTTCGATTTCCTCCTTAGCGCGATTCGTTTGTGCAGGTGTGAACACACACTCTGGTGCAGACCAAAACAACCGCACCTTGACACCCTTGAGAGGAGGTGTTCTCGGTCCGTTCCCAAGCGAACACTGGTGCGATTCGTTTATGGTCTGAACGTATCCCGAGCTCAATCCGACCCAACTTCCAGCCTTCCAGGTCCACTCCGCGAATTTGAGCTAAAGGGCTCCCGTAGCCAGGTGTGCTTTGCATTCTGGGATGCGGCAGAGCACGCAATCATGTAGCAGCAGCTATGCGAAGAAGGGGAAATGAACCTAGCTAGGTCTTGGTCTAGCAGCGAGGTAAGTTGCCTTCTTGAAATCTGGGCAGATGACTACATCTGTCAGTTTCTAAATACAACTCATAAAAACTGTAAAGTTCTCAAAATATTCAGTGAACGGCTGAAGGAGAGAGGACTTGAGCGGTCTATTCAACGGTCCCGTGTGAAAGTGAAAAAAATGAAGTAACAATTCATAAAGTTGAGAGATGTTCAACGGCATAGCCCAGGACACAAGACCTTCTTCCTGCATTTACTTTCTTGCTCCCGCCTCAGACACATCTCACCAATAAGCAGAATGAACGTTATCACGTGGTGTGTAGTGATGAATTGTTGCTTCGCTTGGATTTTTCTGTGTTTCTCTGTGTAAACCGAACCGACGGGGAAAAGGCTACAAGTTTACAAACTCATCAACAGATTGGAACCAGAGAAACAGAACTATAGGTGTGAAAACGCCCTCAGCTAAACTTTGTCATGGGAAGCGAGTCTCGCAAATATATGTGACATACGAAACCTGTAAAAGTATCAGGTGAAAACAATACGGGATTTTCATTGCGGTGAAATTGTTGCGGTTTTTACTTCCCTGCCAATCAGGAGTCAGGAGTCAGGAGTCGCTTGTGTAGATTTCCAGTCAGTCTTCATTGTATCCACAAAGTACAACCAAGGCTCGAGAAATGGCGATTTGCAGTGATTCTTATACATTTAATCTTTTAACAGTTATTTGTCACGGGGGGCGTCCTAAGCACCAATCATTTTCTCCCTTATTTCCCACCAACGTGTGATAAGGTTGTCAGTATTTCTTTTTACTGTTTCGTCCCTCAGGTGAACATAATTGTGGTGGAACTGTCTCCACGAGATGTTTATATATATATATATATATATATATATATATAACAACAATAAACTCAGAGAGAACTCAGGCAGTCCCTTTCTCTTCAGTAGCAGACCTTGGCACTTTCAGTTGGCCACATGTTGCTTAGCTACAGAGCTGATTATATTTTTTACCCTTCAACTTAGTGATAAGTTACAGAGTTAATTGGGGCATGATATACTTTTGAGCTAGTTAGGGTGCAAATACAGATGATCCCTGGCATGCGATGGTCTGTGTTATAATGTTTTGACTTTTGGTAAATGTTTTTCACTTTCAGTACATTATTCAATAAATTACATGAGATGTTCAGTTGTAACCCGATTGTAGTTTCTTTGAGGCAGTTCTGGAACCCTTTTTTAGTAACTACTCCAATACTAGGTATTTTTCGTTCGAACATGAATTACTGGGGAGGAACATACAGCAACAGCTTGCTGATTGGTTAACCAGAAACACTGGCGCTAACTTGGAAGTTAAGAAAAAGAGCTTATGGATTTTTTTTTGTGCGCAAGTTACTTTTAATGCATCAATTAATACATTTTTGCTTGCATCTCCAGATTTCTGCAAAGGAAAATTTTATCGCGAAACAATTTTGTCTAATATTGCTGGTGCTGGCAGTGAAACTTGCCAGCACTGCTTATTCTGTGGAAATGAAAGATCAAACTGCTGGACAAATTTAATAAGAATCTTGTTGCAGGTCATACAAAATATAAATAAAAGGCTGTGTCCTGTTTTGATCACAATTGATCCCCCAATACCTAATAAATTACTAACAAAATGACTTTATTGTGTTGGCATGGCAGTGTAGTTTCGTATGAAATTATGTGTGAACTTTAACCTATGAACTTTTTGCATCTTTGGTACTTATTTAGTATAAAGGTCCCAGGTACTGTTGTTTGGTGTGAAAGAGACACGTGAAAGTGGCCAGGAGCTACAACAGTTTCAGGACGAGGCAGCCCTGCGACTCGTGAGCTGGAACCAGGTGTTGGAACTTTGCTGTGAAAACGGCTAATGTGACCTAATGTATGAATTCCAAGCCAGCCAACCTCATAATGTCATATCCTACACTAGGACAAGATGACACTACATTTGTCTGAAAAATGTAATTTGGATTACTTTTTTTTTTTTAAATCCAGTTTCACCCACGGTGAGGATTTTTAGAGAGGGGATCCCTCTTGTAAATAATGTTTTCACGTCCCCTTTAATCCTGTTGGTCTTGTGTGGCCTGCCTCAAGAGATGAGATCTGGCAGACAAAAAAAAGGATAAAAATACAGGACAAAACATTGTGCTATACCACTAACATTAGGCTGATGGGTATGATTTTGCTTGTGTGAGTAGGTGGGGGAATTCTGCACCACTCCACGAAATTTAGTGTTTCTGCACCTTAGTCTCTGCTCCCCATATTTTGTTTCCGAAGAAGCAAATACAGTAGTGCACCAGCACTGCATGCTTGGAGGCCTAAAAAAATACATGATGGGAGCTACTCCACTGAAGCTAGGGCTGCATTATATCACATCGAAATTTTTTGAAATATTTGCACTTAATATTGCGCTAATCTACAAAAAGATGAAATAAACTATAGCGTTATTATCTACCAATGGAGTGTGACAAATAAGTTGGCAGTGTTTCAGAGTTGTGTCAAGTCACAAATCAGTGCCGACAAATACGGTATGAGTACAGAGCTTTAGATAACAGGCATAAAAATTGGTCCAGACACTGGCTTTTTGGTACTGTATGGATGCTTACTTATACCCCCAATTTGCAGATTAGTAAAGCCTAAAATATTAATGAGGCGTATTGTGACACCCAGCTGTAAAAAGAGTCACACCACTGATGCTTTTTACCTTTTTTATCCACAGTATCTTCTCTTTTAAAGATGTTGTGCTGCTGCTGAGACTCGAGTTTGAGTCAAAAACTGGAGCCCCCATCTCTGGCCTGAATTTACTTTAATGTTATAATAATTATTTAATTTATTATTTAGGTATGTTTACTAGTGAACAGGGAATTGCTTCAGCTTTTATTTTTCGGGATTATTATCGACATCAATCCATACCTAATTAGACGGATTGGGTATCGGCCATATGTGACCGATTCACTTCCAATGCTTACTTATTTATTTTTCAGCAGTCTGTAAAAAGATAACTCCAATTTCTTGTTAAATTAATTTGTACAATCAATCGTACGTCAGTTTTTCTTTCCCCCATTTTAGATGTGTTTTCTTGGCATTCAGGTGACAATATGTGTCTTGCGTGCTTGCAAAGGAAACTAACAAACATGTCTGTTTGTTAGACAATGAGAGTAATTTGAAAAAAGCAATGGATGATTTGGGAGTCGCTATCTTGGGCTGTTTTGCCACTCACTATAGCATGTAATACACGAAGGACTGCTATTGCACAAAGTGTAAGTGACGTTATTGCCGGTGTGAGGCATTTTAAGCATTCACCACTTGTGTATACTCACTTGGAAGATATTGAAACTGAGCTACAAATGCTTCACAAATTCTTAAAAGAAGATGTACAAACGAGGTGGAACAGTATATTATGTATGTTTCTAGTAGCCTAATTAGCAAAGCTTTTTTGGCATACACTTTTTTTCATTTGTATTTACTAGTTTAAAAAGAGCTCTGGTAACCGGATCAGTACTCAAATAGGCCGATACCCTCTGTTCAGATATCGGGATCGTATCAGCACTGAAAAAGTGGGATCAGTGCACCTTTAATTTCAATAGACTGTATATTCAATGTAGAATTCCGTTAACATTTGCTCATACTATTCTCCCACTGGGGTATGAAAGATGTTTTTGGAGGTGCCCTTTGCCTGTTGGTTATTTTGCTCATTTACTCTTGTTATGCAAATTGTATTTGGCAAATCAGATAATCCACTTTGAATAATGGATTCACAGTAGACCATGAAAAAAATTAAACGTTAAATACCATAACGACAGTCTCTTATTTCCATTGCATGATGTGTCATTAGGAATTGCCATGACATGTCTAAATGGGATTTTGCTTGGCAACATCAGGCTCGCATGGGAACATAATAAATTGCTTTTTTAGAAAGAAACACGTAGAAGTCCATAAAACCCACACTTATAAGGGGCCAATTTGCCCAAAATTGTCCCTTGAGTCAATTACAAATCAAATTAGATCAGTCTGTGCATTTTCTGTGATATGGACAATCCTTTATGTCACTGATTGACAAAGTGAACATGACACTAGACTTTCAATCCATCCAAATGTGGATACAACTGTAATTACAAGATTAAGGACTTCCGCACACTGTTGTGGATGTCTTTTGCCTCTAGCTAAAACCAAGAAGAGCCTGTGTATGCTAGTTTAGTGCTACCTCCAGGCTCACCTGGAGAGCAGGTTCTGCCACCAGGTGGCATCCCTCATTACCTTCCGTTGTCCAGCTCATACTGGCCAGAGAAATCAATGAAGCCTCCCTCCCCTTTGCCCTGGGATTTGATGATGCAGGAATAACCAAAGGATGTTTTCTCTCTGGTGAGATTTACTTCAGGTCTGGACAGGGGGGATTGCTCATTGTCACCCACTGGAAGGAGATGAGAGAGAAGAATAGGCTAATGCTGGACAAACGTACACAGGGGAAAAAAACACAAAATCCCACTGATGCATTAAGATGTCATGTTCAGGTATTTCACAAAATGGGCTGAAGGGAGCTCTGTGTGCATAAATCCATTGAGAATGCAGATGCATCTTCAGTACTAGAGGTGATAATGTGATAAAATGGTGTCTGTGCTGTGAAGGGGATGTTAAAGTATCTGAGCATGGAGTCATCTGCTAAGAAGCTTGCTGGTTTTGTGTGCCAGTTTTTTATTAACTAGAGATGAATCTCTACTTAATTGAACATTTTTATCTGGATTTGTGACTTAACCTATAATTAATGTGGGACTTTGAAAACTAGTTACAGCCCTTATGGACATTTCATTCTTTAAGGACAATTTCTGAATCTTGGGTATATTTCGTGTGTATTGTGTTTCCATAATCACATATCCAGTCAATGGCCACAGTGAATCAAGAACTTATTCCAGAAGCACAGGGCATGAGAGAGAGTATACCAGTCCAAAAAAGTACACATACATAAATCTCAGTCAAAAACTATTGCCAATTTAAAGTCACCAAATCAAACCACATGTT